TGGGAACAACTTCCTAATGAAATTAAACAATGCACATCCATTTCGGATTTTAAAGCCCAGCTCACAAAACACTTGATCTCAAAATATTAATACTAATAATAACTATTAATTATCTCTGTTTTTCATTTAGTTTTAGTTAAATCAATTTATTTTGAATTTACTTTTTTGTATATATTTATATTGTATTGTCATTGTATTTGTTTTTGATGATGGAGTAAGAGCAGCTTACTGTTTGGGCTTATGCCTATTACTTACTCCTGGCAAGAATATTGTATGTATACTTTTTACTCTGCCGAATAAATATTATTATTATTATTATTATTATTATTATTCATAGAATGGTACTGATTTGTATTCGTAGTGTGTTAAGTAAAATAACTTATGATGATGATGGCTAGGGCCTATGATAAAATGTTGATCATCTTATTATTTATCATCAACATCATGATAGAAATCGTAATCGTGTTGGTGAAGATGATTAGCACAATGTGCCTAGTTAAAATGTGTATATCGTATGCCTAATAAATCGCGACGTGCAGTTTTAAACTGTTTGTCTACATTTATTATTTTTAAGCTTTCATTTATGATTGTGTTGAAAAAAAATAAACATTTATTTTAAGATTTCAGTATTGATTGTTATGCTCTGTTTTATTGGCCCAAACTTTTCAATTAGTGTGATGATTGATGATAAGGATGATGCTGCGGGTGGTGATATACGCCAGTAATTGCGCGTTAATAACTGGCGTTCGCTACGTCACGCACAAGTTCACACCACTTGACTAACGTTGCTCTAGCATAACCAAAAATAATAAATAGCAGAAGATAGAGCAGTTTCCGAATATAGTGGAAGATCCGGTCGAAATGCGACGAAATTGTGGGTACACGAAGAGCAATTTTACTCCGTCCGTGCGCGGCGGCGCTCTATATCAATAATAAAGGCGCCGCTGTGGTTCGTTTGTTTCCTGTATTTCTCCACTTAGTCAAATGGTCATATTTTACCCCGCTCGCGTGAGGGCGGATGCTAATTCAGTTTTAATGCAAATACGCGAAACAGCCATAATAAAATTGATGTAATTTAGTCAAAAGTGATTTTAAGCAATTGAAAAATGTTGACGCACGACGTGTATGCGCTAGTTATGACGCGCACACAGGAAATTAAGATAATGACATTCAACCTTCACCTGAAGTTTACGCCAACCGGCCCGATCTCAGCACATAAATGGTAGACCTATATCTGCCCAATTCATTTCAAGACAGATTAAAAATCTGTCGCTTTCATAAGCCTGGTCGCCTCGTTGCATAAAGGGCATGTTTCCCTATTGGTGCGCCACCCAAGTCGCATCTTTGGGCTGGTCGGAGAAAACTATTTAGCAGGTGGGTCACTGGCATTCCAATACATTCCGCTGTTATATATACACGATCAATTCATTCAGTTAAAAGATGATCAATTCTCAAAATAAATTAAAAATTTTCAGTTGTTTTTTTGTCCAATTTCTTCAAAACGTAACATGTAAATTTCTTGCTGGTTTGGGTGTGTGCCCATCATGCTTTTGGGCGTTTGGCACAAAAATGGGCCTACTTTCTGGTCTACTTAACCACTATGTAAATGATATACATTTTATTCCACTAAGGTTTACAATAATTCCTTATGTTAGCTAAGCTTTTATAGCCTGGTTGTAAAACTGCTGAAATGAACTTTAGCGGGAAAAAAGTAAAGGAAAATTAATTTTTGGTTTTTCTGAATCAGCATACCCTATAGTGTCTCAGAAAAAAAAATCCCCATGCCTAGGGCTTTGGCAATTTTTTTTACAGCACTTTAAATTTTTGGCCTAAAATACCCTATTTTAAACTATTTAAGATGGGAGTAGGGGAATGAAATGTTTGTTTTTGGTCACTTTTACATATACTGTGGATATGAAATGCAACAACAACTTGGCTAAATAGTTACTCATTACTTTCGTTAAAAAAATTGATCGGAATGATGACGTCATCATGACAAATTCCAAGATGGCGTCCATTATGTTGGGAAAAACTATGTTTTTAATGTAAAAATAATTTTGTTGTTATCAAAGTACAATACAATCGCAATCTCTTATACACATCT